ATGGTTTCTTTAATTTCTTATGGTAGCACAGCAAACTTCATAGGAATTTGTATTACCAGTAAATTTTTTTAGGATGTTGCATTTTCTTTTGTTTTTTAAAAAAATTTGTAATAAAATAATGTATATTACTTGCATTGTGTTTGAATTAATATATTAATTTCCCCTTAAATGCAGATTGGGTCCAGTCAGGTGTTTTCCCCAGTTAAGCTTTGTGTTGACCAATTTGTTTATTTCTCCCTTGTTTGTTTGGAGAAAAGGACTACTTACTTTTGACCCTAAGTTACGGCACAATTATTATCTACAGCTAAGCAGTAGGGACATAAGACGTTTCTATGACTATGCTAATTATAAGTGTAAAAATTATCCATTCACATGGGGTGCATGTTGATCTTTTCAGGTGTTAGATGATTTTTGGATAATGTATTAGATATTGAGGTGAGGGGTTTTACAGTTAGGTTTGCTGAGGTTTGAGGTGGATAGGTCTGGTCTTACCTCATTGTACCAAAATTTAAAGTTCTGAAAGTTAGGGCATGATTTGGATAAGGATACGAAGTAGGTAGGCTTTGTCCTGGACCAGCTGCTACTTGCAAGTGTGTGTAGATGTTAAAGGTCAGCCATACCAGTCTGGGTGTGAGTGGCACACATGTGATCCCAGTGTTAGAGGTAGATGCAGGATTGTCACTCAGCCTACCCTGACTGTAGGGAGACAGCCTGCAAAGAAGGTAAATGCTCCTGTGGTACAAAATACAAGGGTACATAGTATTGCTTTTTGTTTTTTTCCCCCCAAGACGGTTTCTCTGTTGGCTCTCCTGGAACTCTAGCAGGCTGGCCTTGAGCTCAAAGATCTCTGCCTTTGCATCCCAAGTGCTGGGAGTAAAGGAGAGTGCCGCACCACCTGGCTAGTTTAGTAAATTATCCCTTTTCAACTGTGGGTTCTCAAGATTAACAATCAGGAGTGAGCATAATTGTGTGTATGCACATCTATGACAAATCAGTAATACAAGTTACTTACAGCAGCAGCTGCTTTTTAAAGAAATGTTTGTATACTCTCCCATTGAATAGGATGTCATTTAAGTTCACTAAAGTTTTCCCCTCTTTAACAGTGTTCTTTCTCTATCATTGTAGCTCCCTACACCACTTGAAGAACATTGCTGTGGCTATTTTTTTTTTACTTTATGTGCTAGCACCAGTTTCTTCTCCCTTACCTCTTCCCATCTCCCCTCCCCCCATCCACTCTTCAAAAGGGGTAAGGCCTTGGGGAGTCCATCAACTTGAGGCAGGACCAAGCTCCTTCCTGTATCAAGACTGAGCAAGGTATCCCACCATAGGGAGTGGGTTCCAAAAAGCCAGTTCATGTGCTTGGGGTAGTAGGTCCTGGTACTACCACCCAGCCGTTCTTAACATCAAGTTGAAGGAATAACTGGTTTTAGTATAGATATAGGATTTGCAACCTGGAATAATCCAAACCTTTTATTTATTTTGGCAATACTAGAGATTGAATCCAGGGCCTTATGAATGCTAGGTACGTGCTGTACTGGTCTGGATTTAACTTCCAGTTGCATTTACTTAGAAACTGCTCTAGTGCTTTCTTAACTCAAGCCTGCTCTAAGTAGTAGTATAGTATATGCCATAGCAAGAGTTTTGCAGTACCTGCTCTGTTTCATCACTATAATAGTTTTCAAATTCTTTGTTATATATCTCACATGTATATTTTCTAAAACAACTAGTTTTTTTTACACTGCATGTACACCAGAATTAGACATCAGATCTCATAGATGGTGGTGGGCCACCATATGGTTGCGGGGGATTGAACTTGGGACCTGTGGAGGAACAGCTAAGTGCTCTTAACTTCAGAGCCATCTTTTCAGCCCTGACACACTTTCTTAATGGACAGATTTATTTGAATATAGTCAATAATAGTAACTTTGAAGCCTATCTCAGCCAAAGACCAAAAACAATTGTTCTTTGGTTTCTTTTTTTGGTTTTTCGAGACAGGTTTTCTCTGTGGCTTTGGAGGCTGTCCTGGAACTCGCTCTGTAGACCAGGCTGACCTCCAACTCACAGACATCTGCCTGCCTCTGTCTCCCAGTGCTGGGAATAAAGGCGTGTGCCACCAACACCCAGCAGCCTTTGGTTTCTTTAAAAAAAAAAAAGGGTGGGAAGATTGGTCACTTGATAAGAACACTTGTTGCCAGAGCCTAATGGTCTGAGTTCAGTTCCCAGAATGTACTCCTGAGAAATGTTTCTGAGCTCCATATGTAATGGTCATTCACAAACACATTTTTAAGTGTGCGCACAAAGGCATAGGATGCTTGTAAATGACCAATTTGTAGGAATTGGTTTTCTTTTTACCACGTGGTACTTTGGGATCGAATCTCAGCTGTCAAGCTTGGTTGACAGTGAGTACCTTTACCTCAATAGCCAAAAAACAAAAAAATATGTCTAAAGAGTATTACTGTAAGTAGTAAATAAATACTTATTAAATCTGACTTCCCAATGGCCTGGTAGTACCTGCCCAGAGGCTGGATCTCTTGAGTTTAACGCCAGACTCATCTACAAGTTCCAGGACAACCAGGCTTACACAGACAGTGTCTCTGTATGTAGCCCTGGCTAGTCTGTACACTAGGCCAGCCTGGCTTCAAGTTCCAGAGACTACCTCCTGAGTGATAAGATAGCATTTAAGGGGTGTGTCACCACACCCAGTCTGTAGTTGCTTTCTAGATCAGGTAACATAATAAACTTTACCATATTATATGACTTCTTTGCTTTTCCACATTACCCAAAACCTGACTATTTATCAGAGTTACGTTAAAATACATTGTTTTTGCTTACTCCTCATTGCAATATGTTAGGAGCCATAGGAAAGTTGTCAACAGAGATATGGACTTTTTTTTTTGGTTTTTCGAGACTGGGTTTCTCTATTGTTTTGGAGGCTGTGCTGGAACTCACTCTGTAGACCACCAGGCTGGCCTCGAACTCATAGAGATCCACCCAGTTCTGCCTCTCAAGTACTGGGATTAAAGGTGTGTACCACCAACACCCGACTGGACTTATGTTTTAAAAGATCTGTTTTTAGCTTCCAGGTTTTATTTTGATTTATTTTTTTCTTTAAATGGAGAGTGTCTGTAGCTATGTCTATGTGAGTGGCTGGCACTTGAGGCTTTGGATACCTTGAACTGGAGTTAAGAGTAAAATTTCTTTTTTCAAGACTAAAAGAAGTTAGGTGGTAGTGAGGAGCTTAGATGTGGAAACAGCTCTGTTCTTTATTGGCTTAATACTGTAGACAAAGCACATAGCCTCTTGGTAAAATTTAAAGTAGATGTGGTAGGACACACTTGGAATCCTAACTCTTGGGTCACCGATGGATGTGGAAGGATTAGAAGTTCAAAGTCATCTTGTACTACACATAATAAGATTGAGGCCAATCTCAGATAACATGACATTCTGCACAGGACTTTTAACCTTAACTCTAACAGGAAACTCAATATGAACAAATGATTTAATGTGTGCAATTTGCTGTATATCTTAGTTGCTTTTTCCCCCCCTTTCGAGACAGGGTTTCTCTGTGACTTTTGGAGGCTGTTCACTATATAGCTTTTGGAAGCTATATAGTGAGACCCTGAGACCCACCCCCCCCCAACAACGAAAACAAAAGAACAAAACACATTTAGGCACTAAGCTTTTCTTCATCCTGCAATGGCAGACTGCCACTGTCTCTCACTTCAGCAGATTAGTACTCTTGCTCTCCATTCTTCATCTCTTAGGTAGACAGACATGGTAAACATGGGGTTCACCTTGTGTTTGTCTCTTATTCCTTAAAAAGATTTAAAAATTTTTATGTGCATTGATTGATATTTTGCCTGTATGTGTGAGGGTGCCAGATCTGGAAATGGAGTTACAGACAGCTGTGAGCTGTCATCTGGGTGCTGGGAATTGAACCCAGGACCTCTGGAAGAGCAGCCAGTGCTCTTAACTGCTGAGATTAAAGGTGTGCACCACACCTTTCCTTATTTGGAGCTGTTGGTGTTGGCTTCATATTACAGGACTTTGGCAATGTTTATAATTTTCTTATATTGAATTTTTTCATTTATTTTATATACCAACTACAGTCTCCCATCTCCTTCTTAACTCCACTCAGAAAGGGGCAGGCCTCCTATGGGCATCAACAAAGCATGGCATATCAAGTTGAGGCAGGGCCAAGCTCCTCCCCCTGCATCAAGGTTGGCTGAAGCAATCCAGCATGGGAAATAAGTTCCCCAAATGCAGCTCAGGCTCCAGGGACAGGTCCTGATCCCACCGGTAGGAGCCTTATAAATAGAGAAAGCTACATAACTGCCATTCACAAGCAGAGGACCTAGGTTGGTCCCGTGCAGGCTCCCTAGCTGTTGGTCCAGAGTCCGTGAGCTCCCAGCAGGTCAGCTGTCTCTGGGTTCCCACGTTATATGCCTTGCTTTTATGTGAGGGCTATCCACAATCATATTCTGTTTAGAAATTAAAAACATTCCATGGTCCTTGTGAGACAGTCTATATAAGTGGACACTTAATTTTGAGTGTTTGCATCCATATCACCTTTTGATATGGTTTGTCTTGCAAAATCCTATGGACTATTTCTAGTTTTGTTTTGATAGACTTCCATTCTCTTGGCTTCTTTCTGTATTGCTTTTGACTGAAAATATTTTTGCTGTCATTGGTAATTTCATAGTAGTAGACACTGCCAAGAAAGATACCCATTGTAGTTTATCATTAGGTACATGACTTAACAAAAGTGCTGGAGATAAGAAACCCAAAAGTCTGTAAAAAGAAATCTTCATGTACCCATTCTACAGGTAGGTATCTAGCACATACAGCAGAATCCTAAAAAAACACTCAGGTACACATTCATCTAATAACTATAGTCTGTATTATTTCAGATGTTAACCCTATATCCTATGAATAAAAAGCCCAAGTAATTTTTAATTGTGTAATTTTAAGTGTAGAAATGATTACAAGTACTAAAAAGCTATGGATTAAAATACAGTATTTTATTTTTTTCTCACCTAAAAAACAAGCAACCCAGAATTAAGATATACATAAGCTTCTCAAGTTTACCCTAATAAAATTTTGAGTATTTTTACAATTTCTACAGAAACATACAGTGTATCAAAATCTGCATAAATCAAATTTATAAAATGTGTAGAAATGCATAGTGATATCAACTTACAAAGCAAGGATATGGGGATTATTTCCAAAGCAGCCAAAAGTACAAAATAGTCATTATGGCGGCAGCTTCTGATGTTTTCGTGTGTGGTAAGATTTCTGATTTCAATATATAGAATCACGTTCATACAGTATCCTAAGGAATTGTACTAAAAACAGATTGATTTACCCATAAAATTACACGCACAGTTCATGTGCCACCTTTTTCAGCCTATGCATAGATTCAAGGTTAGCATCTATTCACCATGGACACTAGGGTCAGTTTCAAACACAAGTAATGACCAGTTTTCTCTCTTTCCTCTTTGTGGTCGATTGACTTGCAATTATCTTTAAACACCCCTAGAGATGAATGAAAGTTTAAATAGTTGATCACAGACCAGTAGCAAAATACAAGCTGACAATTCAAAATTACAGCTAAAGCTCTACTCAGGGAGCTTAGTTCTCACGGTCCAAACGGAAGACCTAAGGCTGGAAGAAAACAAATTGTAGACTTTTCTTCTGAACAAATATAGGCTTTTTTTTTTTTGGTTGTTCATTTTAAAGCTCTAATTAAAAATATTTCCTTCTGGCAGTAGTTTGTGAATTTCTTTCATTATAATGATACCGTGATTGCAAGATCAAAAATGTTTAATTTACCTGCCCCATCCTATCACATGGCTGTTCTTTTTGGCACTCAATGCAGACATTTTAATATTGGGTAAGAGAAGATTTCTTAGAAATTAAAATTTGCAACATTTGGTTCTCTTAAAGTAGGTAATAATGTGTTTAAATTAAATCTTTTCACTGGTAAATAAAAAACAAAAACCTTTCCTAAAAAAGAAATTAAGGAACCCTACAGAACTAACACCTAACTCAAAAGAACGTAGTTCACATTTGTTGACGATCTGTGTTCTCAGACGCTAATTTTCTTAAATTAAAAAACAATGTGCATGGCATTTCATTTGGATGAAGACAAGTGTCAGCTCATCTTGGTTTCACAGCTTAGGCTGCACTACAGTTTTCTAAGGCTTTATATCCAACAAGGGCTTGGGAATTCTTACCTCAGATCTAACCTTTAATTGTTGACACTAGATTTGATTGTGTTGTCATCCCCGTTACCTCAGGCCCTTTCAAGTTTTAAACTGAGAAGTATTTCTAGTTTTCTATAGATACCGGGGAATGTAGATGTAAAATGTAGGTGGGTGGGCGATGTTTCTTTAGTGGGAAGACCCTTTGCTAGCCTAGAAGTTTTCTTTAGTGGGAAGACCCCTTTGCTAGCCTAGAAGTTTTCTTTACTGGGAAGACCCTTTGCTAGCCTAGAAGTTGGTGCGAGCAGAGGGCATGGGGTTAATGCCACAGAATCTTCAAGCCCTATGGAATGGCCTTGAGATGGTCCCCATTGTCATTTTTCTTCCAGCCACACATCATTCAACTTCATATCAATGGCAGCCCAGAAATTCATTTCTAAGTGACAGAAGTATGGCCCATACAGGTGACAGTCCATCCATTGTTACCATCATATAAATTTCTATATAAGCTCTCAAAAATATACTGAAAAATGAAAGAGGCACTAAATGTGTGGAAATTCACCTTTCAAACAAGCAGCATGACTGAAGGAAGGCCACCTTGGCTAACGACCTGTGGCAGTGCTTCAGAAAGATGTAAAATTAAATAAAGACACAACAGGTTGATAACCACCAAGTCATATACGAAAGTCTGGTTACTCCAACCTTTTTTTTTTCAAGTGTGTTAAAAAACAAGAACAACAACAACAAAAACCAAACTGCCTTTCAGACCCCTGAGTGTATTCCCAAAGAAGACAACATATGCTTTAACTCTGTTCTGAAAACCGAGTTAAAGGCACAAATTACCAACGTCATCTTAAAACAAAAGAAAAGTGATGTAAACATCTACGGAGTTTAAGGTAAAAGCAGTTTTGTAAACAGTAACTGCAGATGATGTTATTGTGAAAATCACAGTTTATCAACGTCTTTCCATCCGATCAGAGGTTCCAGGTTTGGAGCTGTACAGAATCAATAATAGTGCTTGCAGCAGGTTCCAGGCGGTTCGCAGTCCTCTCTACGTGTACTTGTCAGTAGGTAGAGTGTTGGTTTCCGTGGACTCTTTAAACACTGTGGATGTTGTTCATTTCCCACTTCTGAGTCGTTTTACTGGAGTCACAGCTGGAGATGAACACTTGGTGCAGGACATCTGATCGATCTAAGCACTTTCCTGAAGGGATGTGAGTGAACCTGTGCAGGCTCTGGAAAACACGGGAGGGAAAGGAAGTTTGAAATTTGGACTCTGATATCCTGGACATCAGAAGCTATTACTTGGCATGCCACAGAAGGCTATTCAAGCTCACTGGACAAGCACACATCAGACCTTGAATGTCTGTTTTCTAAGCTCTTCCTTTCATAGTTATGTCACTATATACTGCTGGTATGTCCAATTCAATACACACAAATTTTAGTTCGGTTATCTTCCCCTCCGAACGTTTGTCTTTGGTTCTTTTTTTTTTGTTTGTTTGTTTGTTTGTTTTTACGAGACAGGGTTTCCCTGTTTTGGAGGCTGTCGGTCCAGCCTGGCCTTGAACTCACAGAGATCCGCCTGCCTCTACCTCCCGAGTGCTGGGATTAAAGGCGTGCACCACCAACGCCCGGCTGTCTTTGGTTCTTACTCTGGCTAAAGACAATACCAGCTTTCCAGTCCCAAGGAAACTATAAGCCTCTCCCTCATATCAGTTCTCCACGGCTTAGGATTCCTCACCCCCGCCTCTCCTGCTCTAATACAGTCTCCATCGTAAGCTGTATGTCTCTTCAGTTCAGCTCAAAGCTTTTCAAAGAAAGGCCCTCAGACTATCCAAGATTGGGTGTGTTTAGCAAAACTTATTTTCAAAATGCAAAAGAATGAATTCACTTTTCCTTGTACTGTACTGACATTTGTTCTATTGGAACAAAAGTAACAGATGAAAGCGCTCAGGCCTCAGCATCCATCAAGCAGTGACACAGGACAAACCACACTTTGATGTAAGGATGCTCACAAGGAAGGGGGTAAAGGCTATTTGTCGTCGTCGTCGTCGTCGTCGTCGTCGTCGTCGTCGTCTTCTTCTTCTTCTTCTTCTTCTTCTTCTTCTTCTTCTTCTTCTTCTTCTTCTTCTTCTTCTCCTCCTCCTCCTCCTCCTCCTCCTCCTCCTCCTCCTCCTCCTCCTCCTCCTCCTCCTCCTCCTCCTTCTCCTCCTCCTCCTCTTCTTCTTTTTCTTCTTCTCCTCCTTCTCCTTCTTCTTTTCTTCTTCTTCTTCTTCTTCTTCTTCTTCTTCTTCTTCTTCTTCTTCTTCTTCTTCTTCTTCTTCTTCTTCTTCTTCTCCTCCTCCTCCTCCTCCTCCTCCTCCTCCTCCTCCTCCTCCTCCTCCTCCTCCTCCTCCTCTTCTTCTCCTCCTCCTCCTGCTTCTCCTCCTCTCTTCTTTTTTTTTGTGGGGAGGGGGTTGGAGACAGTGTTTCTTTGTGCAGCCCCTGGCTGTCCTGGAACTCACTCTGTAGATCAGGCTGACCTCAGAGATCCGCCTGCTTCTGCCTACCAAGTGTTAGGATTAAAGGCGTGTGCCACCGTTGTGTGTCAAGTGTATTAATCTTTGACCCTTCCTTTAAAAAAGCACTGATATGAGAGAGAAAATACGAATCAAGTTCTGCATGATAGAGCACAGTGGAATCTTGAGAAAGGAATAACTACCTACTTTTCCCATACCTTGTCATTTTTACTCAAGCAATCCAACAAACTATGGTCATTCAAACTTGGATAATGGCTGTCACTATAAGAAAAATAACAGCAAAAACAAAAACTCCAAAACAAATAAACGAAAAAAATACTTGACAGTGTTGGTTCTAGTTTTCAAGCAAAAATCAGAAGTTTGAAAAACTTTCCACCACTATGAAGACTTGATACAATTTAAAGACTTCTCTAACGAAACCTTGTATTTCTGATTTTTTTTTTGCGTATTGTACAATGGAACATTTCATTTGGGAAATCTTTATAACTTACTGAATAGTATTAATTTAGTACTTAGCATAATTTGAAACATAAAAAGGTTATAAATTCTTCCAATTTCAAATTCCAGAAAGTTTTAGTAATAACCTACATGAAACCTGCTTGGGGGAAGTGCTAGTATCTTTCTATTGTTGTTTAGAGGAGGGAGGGGAAACTTCAGTTCCGATATATCATTAAAAAAAAAAAAAAGAAGAAGAATGAAAAAAGAAACAGGGTCTCAATATTGTGGCTTCAAATTCACAACTTCCCTACCTTCACCTCACAAGATTTGGGATGCTGGCACAACTGTGCTGAGTGAGTTTCAATGATCCTTAAGTGTTTCAGGGGAATGAGGAAGCCAGAAAGTCTGAGAACTCTGTTCAAGCTGATTTTCTCATCAACCTATACTTGACAATCCTTTCCAGATAATTTTCCTACAAGTCTCCACTGTTTGCTACAGCTACTTCAGAAAAGCGCCAGTTCAGATTAGGAGTGACCTACACGCAGTTCTTAGGGTTCTGTACAAATCCTCATGCTGGACCACTGCTGACCTAGTTTTTCTCTATGAAAACTCATCAGAAACGGTTACTTCCACTCTCCTCTTTTTTTTTTCCTTTCTGATAGCACTATGCTTATTTTTAACTGCATTTCCAAACCTCAAGACCTGAGTTTGATCCCCGAGACCCACTTAGAGGTTGAAGGAGAGACCTAATTCCATAGAGCTGTCCTCTGACCTCTGCATATATGCCTTAGGTTGAGAGTGTCCCTCTTCCCAAATATCACACAAACTATACAAATCACAACAGTAAAAAATAAAATAACATTTGGCAATTGGCATGAAAGATGGTGCCTAGGAGTATTACTACATAAGGAACAATGCCTTCACAACAGGAGTGGCATAGTAAATATTAGATGAACAGAACTGAGGGTTTCTCTGGTTGGTTCCTTTCAGTTTGAAAAGGCTTTGCTAATGTTACCGTTCATAAAAAAGCAAAAACAAACAAACAAACAAAAAATCCTTGATTTATCCAGATGGACACTTTGAAAAATCACACACTCCTGAGTGTGTGAACTAGTGACTCTCGTGCCATCTTTTAGTCTGTCTTGTCAGACTTCGATGTGATAGGGTCTCTATTTTGTTGTTGTTCTGTTATATTATTGTCCCTTAGAAGCCTGTTTGTTTTCTAATAAGAGACAGAAAGGGGGTGGATCTGGATGGGAGGGGAGGTGGGGAGGATCTGGGAGGACTAGAGGGAAGGGAAAGTGTCATTAAGATCCATTATGTAAGGGGGAAAATGTATTTTCAATAAAAAAAGAAAATTAGACATTAATCCATGAGTATGTTTGAATCTTGCCGGAAAGCTTTAAATATAAACAGCTGAAACAGAAAGGCAGCCTAAGAGCCAGTAGGGTCCTAAGAATAAGCCAGGTCTTTCAAACAATCACCACTTCCTGTTGAGTTAGCAGAGGATGAGTTAGCATAGAGGCAGGGGATCCAATCCTTATTTGCCCATGTCTATTGCCATCTGCTGGACAGCATGAGCAGTCAACCCTTTCCTTTTGTATAGTCTAAGAATACTGCTGATATTTTAGTGAATGACTCATTTACATTTTTAACACTGGATTTTGATCTGAAAACAATGGTGGTGACTGCTTCCTGGCATTCTTGAGTTTCTGAAATTAGCACCATGCCCATCACGGTGGTCTCACTGTAGGATATCATTGCTCCAGAAAACATAAGTGACGCCTTATTATAGAACAGTGATTCATCCAGAGCCCAAGCAAACCTGCACAAATAACTAATACAGAATATCCAAGTCACGAACAGGAACATTTGGTCTTCAAAATTGATCCGTCTGTGTCCTACGTGCTATTTGTTACTGACAACCGGACTGCATACGTTACCCCAGGAGCCGGGACACCCCTTACCTTGAAGTACTGCCACTCCTTAAATTCATTGAGGTGGCAGTGTGTAATCATGACTTTGGATCCATCGGGCCCCTTTGTCAAACATTGGTCATATTGCATGAGCTGATTTACTTCATTGATTCGGAAAAGCTATTGAACAAACAAATAAGGTAGAGATGACTTTCTTGCCAACAGATGATTTAAAAAAAAGAAAGAAACTTAACTGCTATAATTAAACTGAATCGTTCTACAATTTTTGTGCATGTTGGGAGCTATTAGTCCTCAGACAAGAACTATACTCATTTTGAAATTAGTGAAGACCGCTATTAACACTTTAATCACACCCTTTACTCTTTAACCAATAATATACAGAAAAGGTAATTAACACTAATTTGTCATGTACCAACAATAAGAAAATTAAAAGGTAGAAGTAGACCTAATAGTGTTTTACAACTGAAATTAGACACATGAAAAGTATCTATATAAAGAAGGAAGAAAATATATGCGTAAAATATACGGTACTGGTAGTAGTACCTCAGTTTATTAAGAAAAAGTGAGGCTTACTAAACTACATTTGTAAAACCGCAGAGGTTAGGCTTACTAGTCATGATTGGTGTATGTTCCCATATGAATATATTGTTACTGCTGTGCAGACATTTCTACAGTCTTACGTGAAAACCAACACGGACAATACTCCCTATTTAAGTGAAATGTTTAAGCAGTCAGCTTTCACGGAATGTTTTTCATGTAATCGAGACAAAATTAATAAATTAACAATCAAGCTAAACCCTCTCCATCTGTGATCAAGTCTGGTGGCTCTCAGGGGTGACCAGTCCTGAGGAGACGTACCTGGTTCCCGCCCATCCTGTGGCAGGGTCCTAGCTCAACGAAGCCTCCGTTGGTTTTCCCCATGCTATCAATACAGTATGCAGTCTCCAAGCCGCGGATCTAAAGGTACGAAGAGAGCCAACACACAGGAAACAGTGTGGTTTGTGATAAACTGACACCAGGGTAAAAGACTCTCAAGCTCAATGTACAAGTCACAGAGGTTCACTGCTGTAGTGCCAGGCTGTCCCTGGGCTGTCCCCGGTGTCGGTATCCTTTACCTGTGTTTTAGCAGCGGCACCATCATCTTTGAAATCAGGAGCTGAAGCCAACAGTGAAATGAGCTCATTCCACTTAAGGGCACTAGCTCGCATGTGCGAGAAGACACCACAGAAGAAACAAAATAGAAGACAGCCTAAGAAAACATGTCTGGACCAGAGCGTGCGCGTGAATGAGAAGGGAGGAAGGCTATATAACTACTACAGTGGGACAGACACCAGCTTTAGGGATCTAGAACAGACCCTGCTTTCTGAGTCCCTCTCTCGGAGGCTATGTGGCACTTTTGTGGTAGCTGCCTTGTGGCTTCTCAGTACAAAGATCATGGCAGTGTGGCTCTCTCTCCTCTAACTAATAATGGAAGCAAAAGCAAACACAGGTTTCCATGTTTGGAATGCAATTCTGAGCTAAAGAAACTACTTTCAAAATGCCACTGTAGTATTGGATAAAGTGCTTGCTTCTGTAGATACTGACTAGGGGAAGACCTTTAGAATACACAAAGATGAACAAGTCATAGTCTCAGGACCATCAAGATATGGGGGACAGAAGGGTGTGCTGGTCAGTAGAGGGGGTAAGTGTGCAGATGAAACAGCCTCTACTGCCTGGGGCAAACTCAGACTTCCCAGGGGCCATCTTTTTTTTTTTGGTTTTTATGAGACAGGGTTTCTCTGTATTGTTTTGGAGGCTGTTGGTCCAGCCCGGCATCAAACTCACAGAGATCCGCCTGCCTCTGCCTCCCGAGTGCTGGGATTAAAGGTGTGCGCCACCACCGCCCGGCCAGGGGCCGTCTTTTAAATAGGGATTTCCTCTGGAATGTTCAGCAGATGACTGCAATGGATCATGGAAATGAAGTAAGGGAAATGCCAGCACTGGACACATTCCTCTGAAGATGTATTTAGAAGAGAAAGGGTAACTGGGTGGGGCCTCATTAATCCATTTCTTCCTGCATGCATGTATTTATTCATCCATGAAATACTAGGTGGGTACCTACCATGCGGCAAGCATGTTACTGTCTCTGATACGTAAGTGGATGAAATACATATACCTGCTTCAATCCCAGTTTACAGCAAAAGAAAGGCAGAAAAGAAGCAAAACACGTAATGGACTGTTGGGGAAGTCCTGTGCATTTGTCAATAAAGCACTGTCTGGCCAATAGGGAATCTAGATAGGAGGGACTAGGAGTCCAGAAGGACTCTGGGTAGGAGAAACACAAGAGGGCAAGATGTAACCGCCATGGGGTAGGAAGCCCAGAAACTTCTCCGGTAAGAGAAATACTTAGATTAACAATTATGGGGTAATTACTTAAGTCAGAGCTAGCCAGTAAGAAACAAGCAAGGCCAACAGCTACCTAATTAATATAGCCTCCTGTGTGTTTATTTGGGACTGATGCGGCTCTAGAACCAGGCTGGCGGGAAGGCTCCTCTCAAGGAAAAAGCTTCTCTTTACAATGGACAAATGAGCTATCTACTGTGTTACTAAGTAATACAGGCCACAGGGGCGGGGAGGAAAGAGAGAACACGGAGGAAGGGGCTAGGGAGGGTGTCGGAGGGTAGAGTTCATGAAGGACAGACGGGGAGCAACTTGACAGAGGTCTACGTCAGCGTGCCCTCGGACGTCCAAAGGAAGGCATTGTGGGCTGAGGAAGGGGAAGCAGGGAGTGTGACGTGGAGCTGTAGGGCTGAAGGAGAGTAAGGTAAGCAGGGCAGGAGAAGAGAGAGAGGACTGAGGGACAGGAAGGGTTTTGCCTTCACCCAAACAACTGGTGCCACTGGAGGTTTTTTTGAGGAGAGGTGACATGACCCGAGTTGCACTTCCAAAGCCACGCTGACTGCTTACTGTGTTTAGGACAGACTGTAGTAAGACACATCGGTGACTTAGAAATAGTGTGCCTTAGCTATGTCCATGCTCTCCACCTTTACTCTTGTCAACTTCGTCCATTATTTTCATCAAACTCTCCTACCCATCCTTATTTCTATTCCAAACACTCCCCGAAGGCAATTCAAACCAAAACAGAAGCCAAATCTCATTGCCTTTCTGTTTTAAATCCTCCACGGGCCTCTCACCACTCTTAGTGAGACTCTAAGTCCCATGTCTGCAATCCCACCTCACCAAATTTCTTCTAGTCTGCTTCTCAAATGTGCATGGTATTTTTGTGGTGGTTTGAATGAGAATGTCCCCCAGAGGCTTATGTATTTGCACTCTGTCCCCAGCGGGGGGGGGGAGGGGGCACTGTTTGGAGAGGCTTAGGAGGTGTGGCCTCTGGAGGAAGTGTTCACTGGAGGTGGGTTTGAGAGAGTAAAGACTCATGCCATCTCCAGTTCTCTCACTGCTCTGTGCTCGCAGTTCAAGATGTGAGCTCCCAGCTCGCTACTCCAGCTGCCAAGTAAGTTGCCATTCCTGCACATGCTCGTTTTTGACGGATTCTCGCCCTTAAAACCATAAGCACAAGTAAACTCTTTCTTTTATGAATGTCCCTAGCGATGCTATTTTATCACAGCAACAGAAAAGGAACTAATGCAGCTTCCGAACTTTGAATTCACCATTTTCTCTGTTACTAGTGCTCTTTCTTGGCTCTAGGTCTTTATCCTCCAGATTTCAGATTAAATGTTACGTCCTCAGAAAGCCTCCCCAAGATGGCCCCTGGTGCTCATTTCCTTTGTAGTCATTACCATCTGGTCATGATCTTTCTCTCCCCACCCCCACCAGCGTGAATGTTTTTGCCCAGACTGGTACACACTAGGCCTTCAGTGGTATATACCGAATGTATAAGTTAACAAAGGCACATGCAACGTTTTGAAAGCTGACAGCATGCTCAGTTACTTCTGAGGCAGCACTGTAAGCCACAAGTGTGAGTACAACCAGAAATGATGCCACGGAGGCAAGTCAGAAGAGTAGGACATGGCCATCCGATCAATGCCTTTTTTATTACCACTGCCCAATTCATTTGACAAATGCTGGGCGAATATCGTGTGCATTGGTCTCTACATTAGCCCAGTAGAGCAAATGAGGGTAGAGGCCCAGAACCGGGATGCTGGGAAGGGGGGCGGTGTGGGGTGTAGTGGGAACCCATGGAAACATGAGAGACCTGTGTGGCTTTGATGAAATGGAGAAGGATAGAGAAATGATTTTCAGGGTTCAGGATCTTCAAGATGAGAGCAGCAAGTGAAACTGGAAGTAGCCAAGACAGGGACAGGGTGGGTTCCGGAGATGGGGAGTGTTCACGGACAGCCACATGCTTAATGGCTGGGAGGGGACAGGGTGGCCTGATGGTCAGGGCTGCTCTGATGACTTGGTAGAGGATAGTGAATGCTGCCAGGAGGTTTTTAGTCAAACATTTCTGCAAGTATTCCTGCTTTCTCGAACACCTTTCCATTTTTCTTTGCCTTCTTCCACACACCGACTCCAAAAATACACATTTTGATATCCAAATATTGGCTGATACTTACTTCTCCCCACTCAACATTTTTGGGTGGCAAAGGGTAGTGGGCAGTGATGTCATAAGCTATTTCTTCCATAAACCATTTGAAGCTTTTGCAGTTGTGGTCTTCTCGAAATTTCTTCAGCTCAGATATGTCCCCATATGGCAGTGCCCTTGACTCAGGACGGCTGGCGTAGAAGTAGTCTTTGTACTCGTCCCACCAGACTTCTACAACTCTGACATAATTCTGTGAAGAGAAAAAATAGTCATTATGGGATGTAGAAATAACTGTAATGGCATAAACAACCTACCTTAGATATACAGAATACGAGCACATAGAGTGAATTCATTTAGAAGACTTGACATTTACTAAACAATGAAAATAAAGTGAGCTAATAACCCTAATATGTCTTTTTCTAAGTACAGAAATGCCATGTATGTATATTCATTTAAAAAGTGATGTACATAAAATCCTTGAGCTGGAAGATCATAAATTCTAAAATAACGCATTCTATTCTGATAACAGATGAAGAGGGTGAAGGCCAGACGGGGTCTCTGAGAGCCTGGGTGGACAGTGGTGTTCCTCCTTGTCTCATTGCTTTCTCTTAGAACTGTGTTACTGATACGTATAGGGAAAAATCTCATTTTAGAAACTATCATTACAAGGAATTGCTCTGCAGCTGACTCTGAATCTTTCCTGACTATAATAGAATCATTTTATTGTAACCTCAAATTAACTGTACGCCTTCCGCAGGTGGTTCACATGGAGGAAAAGCAGCTATTGACCGATAAGGTAAATTGACACTGTCGTAACTGACAAAAAGTAAGCTTGCAGAGCTTGACAGAGCTAGCGAATACGGTGTGAATATATGATTGGTCTGGCATTATTCTCTCCAGTCCCCTGGGGTCCTCTTCACCACGGACCATCATTTTCTCCATAGAGAAGGTGTGAGAGGCTCAGAAGATGGTTCAGGAGATCAGGCACTTGCCATTCCAGAGTTCGGATCTCTAGAATGCATGCAAATGACAGACAGGAGGGAATGGCAGCCTACCTGTAATTCTAGCACTTTCGAGGAAGGTAAAATAGAGATCCCTGGAGTGAGTTGGCTAGTTAGACTAGCTGTACAGGCAAGTTTTGGGGATCGGGTGAGAGACCCTGCCTCAGTGAATAAGGTGGAAAGCCATGGAGGAATGTTAGTCTTGGGCCCATGTGTATCCTTACACATGTGAGCACACACACACACACACACACACACACACACACACACACACTCACACCCATCACACTGACACAGGGAATCAGTTTCGTGTCTAGGTAATTCTTTAGGCCTGCTATAGAGTGACAGCTGTGGTCGGGGTCCCAGAAGGCTAACTATGGTTTGTTGATCATAATTACTGACCTCTCTTTTACATCAAGAGTAGGCACACTTAATCTTAGATTCATTTTTTTTCTAGGATAAAAGATAGTTACTAAAGTGGGAACAGGTAACCATACCAAATAAACCAAGAGAAATCTTTAGGAATAAATTTAACAAGAAAGTGAAAGATCTAAAATACTGAAAGTAATTTTAAGAAGAGACAAACATGGAAACATCCCGTGTTCATGGGTGGGAAGACTAATATCAGAGGTTCCTCAAGAGTACTAATTTTTTTGTTTGACTCTTTTTGTTTTGGTAGCACCACACTCCCCAAGGTGATCTACAAAACACCAATTATAATTTTCATAAATATTGAAAAATTGGAGGCTCATTGGGGGGAAGGCACTGGCCTCCAGGCTTGGCGTCTGGTCTCTGGGACTGACTTGGTGGACTCCACATAGTGGAAGCAGAGAACTGAGTCTCATAAGCTGACCTCCAACCTCCGCATGCGCGTCATAAGGCCCCTGGACCCCCCACCTCCACTAAAATAAAGAACTGTAAATGAGGCCGGGCGGTGGTGGCGCACGCCTTTAATCCCAGCACTCGGGAGGCAGAGGCAGGCGGATCTCTGTGAGTTCGAGGCCGGGCTGGACCCATAGCCTCCAAAACAATACAGAGAAACGGTGTCTCGTAAAAACCAAAAAAAAAAAAAAAAAAAAAAAACCCAAAACAAAACAAACAAAAAAAAAACAAAAACAAAAAAACCCAAAAAACCTGTAAATGAAGGAAACTAAAAAGACAGTCAGCTGCAGAGACACGCCTCAGGGAGAGAGAGACAGTCAGCTGCAGAGACACGCCTCAGGGAGAGAGAGACAGTCAGCTGCAGAGACACGCCTCAGGGAGAGAACGCACCTGCAAACAACACACTGTTAAGGAGTTAACACCTGCAGTGTAGGAAAAACGCAAGGCAACTCAATAGTAGGGACGCAGATAACCTGATTTTTAAATTGGGCAAATCACCTGACACACGTCTCCAAAGGAGACAAATGGCTGCCAGCACCTGCCAAGATGCTCGGCATCAGTGATCCCGCAGGGAATGCGAGTTAAAACCGTAATGCAGCATCACCTCACATCTGCTGGAGCAGCTACTGTCGAAGAGATAAAAGTGGCTGGGAGGGTATAGATAAAATGGAATCCTTTCAAACAGTTGGTAGGAATACAATTATTACAGTCATATGGAAATCAGTATGGAGGTTCCTCCAATAAAATGAAAAGAGAAGCGGGGCGATGGTGGCATACGTCTTCAATCCCAGCACAAGGAAGGCAGAGGCAGGAGGAGCCCTGTGAGTTCCAGGCCAGCCTTCTACGGAATGAGCTCCAGGACAGCCAGGACTGTCAAAAAACAAACAAAAACAAAAACAAAAAACAAAAAAGAAAGAAAAAAAAAAGAACAATTCTGTGACCTGGCAACTCCAGTCTGTGAATATTCCTTATTCACAATGAGATGCTTGAATTTCTGTGCAGAATTTTCAAGCATTATTCACAATGGCTAATATTTGGAATCAACCTAAGTGTCTGTCAACTGGGATATGGATAAAGAAAATGTGATATGCACAATATAATGCCCAATCTTAAAAAAAGGAAATTCTGTCACTTGCAACAACACACAAGACTCTAAGGTAAGTGAAATAAACTAGGCACAGAAAGAGAAACCTGTGCTCGCTCACAGGTAGGATGGAAAAGAAATCAATGCATAGAAACATAATGAAGTAGTAGGTACCCGAGGCTGGGAAATGGGAAGATGTTTGGACAAAATTTCTAACATAGGATCTCTGTGCATTAGTTACTACAATCAATAAAAAAGCATTGGTTAGTATGATATATAGTATATAAATTAATTGACTTTAACCATTCCACAATGTATGTGTATCAAACATCATTATACATCATAAATACACCACTCTCTTCTTGTCAAAACACACATGAAAAGGAATAGGGCTAAAATGAAGAACATGAAAGAACAGTAAGATGTTTCACGAGTAAGTCTAGCCTTGGCTCACAGCGAAAAGCCTGCATGATTGCTTAAGAGCTTTACCCCGGCCAATGATCAGAGAGTGAAGTGCTACATGAATGTTAGATCTCTTCCTTTCCCCTTTTAGCAGCCACAAAAGCTCACCTTAAGAGTTGGAGAAGACCCCACATAAAGGGGGGGAGGGTTTCCTTGCCAGCCCTCAAGACGGTAGATGTGTCCAACGCGAGAACAAGGGACAAATAATAATTTCCCACCGCACTGCCAGATCTATGAAGAAAAAAAATGTATATTGTGAAAGTGATTAGAAATGCAAAAAATAAATAACCAAAAATTTATTCTGTAAATGTAAATTGTAAATGAGACATAATGGATTCTACGCTAATCGAATTCTAAAACCATCAGTTACTTTAGGAACACACGTAACAGCAAGGAAGGCAGTGGTAATGTATATAACGAGTCACTGTTAATGAGCTGCCTCCTGTGTACTTGTAGATCCAGGAGTCCTTTCTCTATAACCCTTCCAAAGTAACGTAAATCCTTCAATCCTAACATTACCTGTTGTCTCTGGTGCTAATCTGTCTCCCACTTGGGTGATCACTGTAGTGACCTCCTGACTGGCCTCATCACCTTCAACTCCTCCCTACTTAACTCTATCCTTATTTATAGCAAGAGATTACGGCAGCTTCGGGTCATGTTATCCTCTTGCTTAGTGTCTTCGGTGATGGCCACCTGCTTACCAAACAAGGGAGTGGGCAATTTCTTAGCTCAGCGTTGAAGACGCTTTAGTACGGTTTATAGTACCTGCCCACTTTTTCTTAAGTGCCTTTCTTTTTCTTTTCTTTGTTTTTATGCAACTGGAGTTACAGACAGCTGTGAGCTGTCATGTGGGTGCTGGGAACCAAACCCAGGTCCTCTGGAAGAGCAGTCAGTGCTCTTAACCACTGAACCATCGCTCCAGCCCACATGTCTTTCTTAATCATGCTTCTTCATGCTACCCAACTGCTTCTGCATTTGCTCATGCGCCCTTCACACCCACAACCTTGCACCTTCCCTCATCCTACACACTTAAGAGGCCTGCTCGCCTCCATTTACCTCTGCTTATTGTAATCATGCATCTCAATTCCTCCTCCATCATGGCGGCATTTTCTTCAACCTACCAACTGAACGCCTCTGCCTTTTTATATGGGTTTACTACGTTATACATTTACAAATCTCTCTAATCTATAAGTTTATTCAACAGCAGGGATGAGTTGTCCTAGCCTAACCCTCACAATACTTAAATACACTGCATTTAAGGCAAGAGGCAGGGGACCGCTGACAAACTGTTATCTCTCCCCCGTCCGGATCTCTGAAAATGGGACAGGCCCGAGGCAGCGTTGGACCAAGCAGGATACCTCCACTGCCAGCAGGAGGATGTCAGTCACTGTGTGGATGCCCTGTCTTCTATCACCGTGTCCTAAGCAATCGACGATGCCTATGGCAGCAGACAGTCAACATGCAGTCCTTCAAAGGGCTGCTGCAACCCAAGGCTCCAATGACCAGAAAGCCTGGGAGTAGGAGAGAGGCTACTTCCATTTCTGAAGCTTGTTGGTCATGATTCTGGGCTGAGTTCTGTAGACAAGCGATCATTTTACTTTATTATCTTAAGAGATATGCTTTACTGAGACATTCATAATAATTTGGAAATTCATTATATATATTTTCTTGGAAAAAACCTAGCTTTATTTGAAAGTCATAAAAGTTGGATAACTAGTAAGTACACATGAGGCAGGGCATGGTGGTTTTTAAGACACAAAGGACATTTGTGAGCTCAAGGTCTACATATGGAGTTTGAGGACAGCCAGAGCTACACAGACACAGACATAGACCCCACCACTCTCTCCCCCAGCTTCCCCACCACTGGCAACAAACAACTCGCCCCAAAACCTGGTTAGAAAACAGCATCTGTTTGAGTGAAATGTTACCTTGTATGAGATTTCAAAGTTCTCGCCACCCCAAATCTGGAGACCAGGATCATAGAGACCCAGTTCGAAGAAGAACTCTCTCTCAATGGCAAATAATCCACCAGCCATCGCTGGAGACCTGAGAAAAGACACGGATGCAGTAACTATAGAAACAAAGCTCCACTCTCCCTTCACCCACAGACAGACAGCCTTTGGGAACACAGCTCAAGAATGCACAGGACAGACAAGACTGATGGCCAAACATTAAGAAACTGTAAATCCTTCATAAAAGAATGTGGTCTGTGTAAATTTACCAAAACTTCTGAAAAACTTCTTTACACTACGGTGTTGTTTCACCACTAGAGGGCGCCTTGGTTCTTTTGTTGATTTAAGCATTTCTTTGTAATTAAGATAAAAATTTCTCTTTCTCTCCCGAAACACAGAACCATCTGGACATTGTCTATTGATTGCTCCTTCAATGATTTACGAGTCGTTCTGGGACGAGAGAAACTATACACCATGGAAGCAGTCTGCCATCTTTTAATTTTATAGCTCAAGGCCTCGCCAAATAATGGTGTAAATCACCTAAGAACAGCGTGGCTCATCCCGAGTTTGCAAAGGTAGTGCCGGAATGACATAAGAAACAGGGCATGGGGCATCAGCTTTCACTGTGCCAGGGGGTGAGAGTACCAGAGAGCGCCCCATGGACTTCTTGCACAGCTCTTAAGTTCAGGGCATTTTAGGAGAAAGAGAAAAAAAACATCCTGTAACTTTTCCAGCCACTTCCGCTATGGAAGAAATGATGGCAGAATACTTTCACCGAATTCCGGGCAGTCCTTCTTACTACTTAATGTGTTATGATTCTTAAGCATTTGGGAACTCGATACTGCTACAATTCCTTCTTCCTCATTCACACTAACATTTGTCTATCACCGATTCCCACTGATTCCGCCTTGAAAATGTGTGTGTGTGTGGGTGTGTGTGCAATTTGTGTACCACTCACTACAGTATAAATTCCACAAGCACATACTTAACTATTTGTATGTTTAGTTTTGACACGGGGACTCACTATATTGTTTTGCTTGACCAGAAACTTGCTGTGTAGACCCAGCTAACCCTGGCCTAACAAGGGCCCACCTGCCTCTGCTTTCCTGGTGCTGGGATTAACAGCAGGTGTCGCCATGTCAACAAGGGAACATATTTTGAAAAGGTCATTGTCCTCTAAAATAGTGGCTCGTGCAGAGTCAACAGCCAACAAACATATGTTGAACAGATAATGAGTCAGGTTAATATTTTTAGTACAGAAAATCCCACCAAGAGCTGTTCACTTATGCCTTTCTTAAAACACGCTGCCTAAATCACTAAGCTGGTACACTGTGGTTACACTTTCAAGGTCACATTTACTTGGCTGCCATTTAATATTGTCTCGCTATGATTGTACCTTGTTGTTCTAACACATCCCATTCGTCTCCACACATACTTGAAGACGCTGCTTTTACATATTCATAACTTAGCCAACTAAACTGACCCCCTGCAAATTTTCCTAGTTGACTTTTTTAAAACATGCCTTTCTGGAAGGAACGGTTGGACATACAGGAACCCTTGCTTTGTCTCCTAGGTGATCTGTGAGCTTAAGCAGGTCAGCAACAGATTCCTGCATCATCCTGAACCTTAAGTTTTTGAATGAGAATTTGGAAGCTGTCCCGGAAAAGCCTGAAGCCCTGTAATTTCCTCATGTTTGCCATTCAGTGTCCTGATCACAACACGTCCAAATCCACGACAGGAAAGCACTTCACCAAGGTCTGACATGAGCAGTGTGACAGGGAGAAAGAATAAAAGCAGAACCATGGGGCAAAGAAAATAAATAAATAAATAGTAAACATACAATGGACGTGATTACATTGGCATTTCATTTGGGGGTCACTTTTTGAAAGACTGTACACGTTCCAATTAAAAGATAGTACAATCAATCCTTCTATTTGAAGGATCCGCAAGAAGGGACAGAAGCTGATTTGAGGATGGAATTTTCTCCTAATCAAACATTGTTTTGAGAACCAAGCAACAAAGGATTCTACACGTTTTCTCAAGTCGTGTATTAGTATTCATCACATTTCATTGATACAAAATTTGCATCAGAGCTTTAGCATATAAAACAAAAGGGAGAACCTGAAAATCTCTTGCTAGTGTCGTTCACTGCCAAGACTGCACCCAAGACTTCAAGGTGCAAATCACAAGTCCTGAGCTATCAGCAGTCTGCATATTAATGGATAGAATACACTCTGCCGTTTGGTCTCCTCGGCCAGCAGGAAAAGGCTGTTTCCTTCTTTCCTGCTAATGCTTCAAGTTACTAGCGCCTTTCACATCCTTTCCCCAATGAAAGAGCATAATTCACATTAGTGGGGCTTGCATTTAGGGTAAAAGCTGTTACAGGAGCCAATGTGAATTCAAAGCCTTGAAGCTGTCAGGACTGAGGCGACGGCTCCAGTTCTTGCAGCGAGTTTTCAGCGTGGCAAGCGGTTAATAGATTAGCAGCAACCAGAGAAAAGGGAGGAGGTAGGTAAGGGATTTAGTGATTACCGATACGGTTCAGTTTTTGTCTTTCTCAGTCTCTTCTCGCGAGAGGTCAGAGGCACCCGTTTCCAGAGCATACTCCAATCCCATGCACCTCGAGCATACCCATCTTCATCACCGCCCCCTTGGGGTATAATTTCATATGTGTTGCCATTTATGACATCTATAATCGGCACAGTGCAAATGGTTCTGTGTTGTAATGATGACGCAGCAAGATCAAATGGAAACGTATGTATGGACCCACATATTTTTACGAGTTCATAGGGAAAGGAAAAAAAAGGACTCAGGTAAACATTCAACATAAAAAAATAAAGTAATAATCTTTACCGATAAGGTTCAGTTTTATGTTTTCTTTTGGCCTTTTCCTTGTGGTTTAGTGGAATACGTTTCCATAGCATACTCCAGTCCCAGGCCCCTCTGGCAAAACCATCTTCATCCCCACCTTGCTGTGGTTCAATGGAATAATCATTCCCGTTTATGTAATCTATTAGAGGCACAGTACATGTTGCTCTGAAACATTTACAGAAAATGAAAACGCATTTAAGAACCCCACACTGACTAGTACAGCATGCCTAACTTCTGTAGCTGGTTTCACTTTGCATTAGGAAACTATTTTCTAACTGGGGGCATAGAGTAAAATAAGGTCTCGGGAAAGCCAAGGCCCGTGTCAGCATACGGGAAGGGAGTTTATCCGAGCTGTCCAACCTGGGGCCAAGAGCCACGCCACTGAGTTTGCTAAGCGTTTTCTCTCTTCTACTTGGTGTTACTGGCGGCTCTCATAGTAACTCTGCAGCGTTGATGAGATTTTTCTGCCTGTTATTTTCTGTGTCCCCCGCTGAAAATGTCTCTAAGGTTTTGCGTGTGCACACCCATGGACAGCTTCCTTCAACTTTTCGCTGATTCTTTGGAAGCAGTTATTATGAACATGTCCTTCTCTGCTTTCATGTAATTTCCTTCCCTCCTTTAATTACAAAGCAAAACAACTCCCTTAACCAAACTAAAACCTCACCTTCTGTATTTTATTTCATTAAAAAAAAAAAGAAAGCCAAGAAAGATGCTATAGTATCTGTTAAGGAATTTAAGGAATAAACTAAGAATATGGAGGATAGAAGGGAAAAAAAATCCTTGCATTTGGGTTTTGTAAAATGCTAGCACTGAGTAACCAATTGGATGTGGAGCTGCTGTTATGATGACCCAGAACTCTGCTCATCGTAACAGAAAGGGTTGAGAATGGGCCTCCCAAAATGGAGAGCACAGAGAAACAAAAATCTGTGGGAAGTGGATTCTAGAAGAGAGCTTCCTTCTCTCCTGAACATGAGCTCCCAGGAGGGCCACCGTGTGATACACAGAGTCCCCACTGGAACCTTCGGAAGCCTTGATGCTGGGAAGACTTCCACATTGCCCTGGAGACAGTGGCTGGCTACCTGGTTAGTTATCTTTCCTCTCGCCACGTTCTTTTCACAATTTAAAATAAGTGCGAAAATGTAATGGAACACTGAGATCTGTCTAACAGTCTATTAAATATCACATGTGGCAAATTCATTTTTTCTTAGGCTTAGTACTGTTTTTGCAAAGTGTAGCTAATCATCTCTACCTGTTAGGGCTGCTGTGGCGATTAAGCCAGACAGCGCTTTGAGTAGTGTTTATGATGGGCCTTCCCTTTCAATCTGATGAGAAGTCTCCCAATTAATTCTTCCTCTGACCCATGCTTTTTGCCACAAGAATATGCTGCATTCACCTAGACTGTCAACTAGAATTCTGGATAGGAAGTTACAAAAGCTTTTGGAGCTAGGGACTGATGCTGTCTTTTGGTGTTTTAGATATTTCTGTATATTAATGGTGATGGCTGTCTTCCATGGTTGCCTATTTCTTTTTCTTTTTTTTTTCTTTTTTTCTTTTTTTGGTTTTTACGAGACAGGGTTTCTCTGTATTCTTTTGGAGGCTATCGGTCCAGCTCAGCCTCGAACTCACAGAGATCCGCCCGCCTCTGCCTCCCGAGTGCTGGGATTAAAGGCGTGCGCCACCACCACCCGGCGGTTGCCTATTTCTAACTGGAGGTTTTCATAGGAACCGGAAGACTTGAACTTAGTAATAGCGGGCCCTTATCATCTAAATCATTTAATCATGTAATCATTTAATAGGCCATAAGAAGTCTCAAGGTTTAATTTTAAGGCATGCTTCTTCAAATTTTCAGAGCCTTTATTCAGCTTTAAGGGAGGAATTGACACTACTCTTTGAGAAAGTCTCAACAGAATACCAAGACAACTGTGCAAGGGGACACTAGCTTTTCCAAATACAGGCTGGCTACATCTGCATAGCCCAAAGCATCCATCTAGCTCCACCCAGGGGGCAAACAGCTCAAGGAAAACATGTCTCACACAACACCTGGCAAACTAGATGGAATGGGGAATGACAGAGGAGAATAGTGTTTGTCCTTCTAGGACAAGGTTTACTGTTCAACTAGGAAAGAAAAAAAAGCAAGGTGATGTTACCTGTCCTTAGATATGGGAGCTACAAGTGGCGCATACCAGTTAACTGCCACCTCACAGTGGGCATCAAGGTATACCAAAACCTTAAAAAAAAGAGGCAGGTGAAAGAATAGTCCTCACACGTGGTACATCATATATCACACACAGTCCAAAATTACATGCTAATGCAAATTAGCATCTTAGTCAATTTTGCCATATAACTTATCCGTTCAAACCAACATTCTCATTTCATAAAACAGAACCAAAACAGAACTGAAGGATAATTCAAAAACAAAGACGTGCTGGCACCGTAAAGGGTACCCACTTCCTACCTGTCCAAGTTTAGCCTTCTGCGCACCAATGCTTCGAGCTTGAATCAAACCCTCTCTTCTCTCATTTCGAAACACCTTTACGAGGCCATTCCACTGTTTTATGTAGTCATCCAGTTTTCCTTTTAAGTGCTCTGTGAATTAAAAAAAAAAAGCCATAGCCAATATTGTAGACTTTTACATAGGGACTTTTTTTTTCCTCTCTCGAGAAATAAAGATTGGGTACAGACATGCTGTGCAGTCACTAATCTTACATGAATCAGACCAACCATGAACCAGTTACGATGGAAGGTAAGGGCTTCGGGTGCAGGTCAGTGGTAAAACACGCGTGCAGTGTTAATGAGGCCTGGGTTCAGTCCTCTGACATCACACCAAAGGAAGACGGAAGGCAAAATGTGTTACAGGTTAAGATGGAAGTTTAATATATCCACAGAGGATTGGGTAGCATAAAAATTACCAAGCAACCCTGGAAAGATGGAAGGAATATTAAAATTTACAAATGTCAGATGCAAAACTTAAAGAGAAAAAATATACAGCATTTTGCATTTGAAAGAAGTGATTCAGCTGGGTGGTGGTGGCGCACGCCTTTAATCCCAGCACTTGAGAGGCAGAGGCAGGAGGATCTCTGCGAGTTTGAGGACAGCCCTAGTCTACAGAGTGAGTTCCAGGACAGCCAGGGCTACACGGAGAAACCAAACTAACTAACTAACTAACTAACTAACTAACTAAATAAATAAATAAATAAATAAATAAATAAAATAAAAAGAAGGGGTGGTTCTGTTATGACTGCCTGGAGTCTACACGGAGCATAGGCTGTTGAACGCTCTGTTTCTGGGTCACCGTTCTCCCACCAAAATAGGTACTGAAAACTGCAGTCTTGCCGTGACTAAGGCTAGCCACCACGTTGGCCTGCAACAATCACAAGACCCGTTTTCGTCTGTAGCTTAACATTACACGTATGTGTATAATTAAATTACAATTATGATAATTACATACACATATATGTTTGTAATTTAGTAGAGTAAATTCTAGGCTATGAAACCCAGGCACAACTGGCAAAGTTTGCACCTTGGCTTCCCATTGGAAAATAACAGCTTTTGTTTACCACTGTGAGGCCAGGAAATTGGCTCGCCAGCTAGAACAAGCTCCCGATCCTGCTGAGATGCTTCCCAAGGACGCAGAAATTGTCCTAAAAATTGTTAAAAAATCTGGCTCATCAGTACAAAAAAAATGCTGTATTAAGATATGAGCTGGTGGTAAATGAATATGCTAAACCATCTATTTAATAGTTTGCTTGTTTTAGGAGACTTTTAAAACGTTTCTGTTTGTTTCAAGATAGAGGTCATATAGCCAAGGCTGGCCTCAAATTCACTATGTAGCTGAGGCTGGCCCGGAACTATTTTTTTTTCCTTTTTTTGAGACAGGGTTTTTCTGTAAAGCTTGGGTGTCCTGGAACTCGCTTGTAGGTCAGAAGACAGCACCTTATCCCTCAGGACGGGAGTTACAAGTGGCTGGGAGCCATGTGGTTGCCGGGAATCAAGCTGTAACCCTCCGGAAGTACAGCCAGTGCTCATCCCTCCACAGCTCAACTCAAACCCTTGATCCCCCAGCCTCGGCCTCCTAAGCACTGCTAATAGAGATGGGCATCACCACACCAGGGAGTTTATTACCAACAAGATACCCACCCATGTGGGTTTTCAGAATTAAGATGTCACACACACACACACTTTGGCACCAACTTTTAATGAATCTTACACATAAATTTTTCATGCTTAAGTATATTTTCTTGCCAAAATATTTAGTAATTTCCCTTTTTGTGTGTGTGTGGTTTTTTTTTTTTTTTTTTTTTGAGGCAGGGTTTCTCTTTATAGCGCTGGCTGTCCTAGAACTCTATCTGTAGGCCAGACTGATCTCTGCCTCCTGAGTGCTGAGATTTAAGGCATACATTGACACCACCTGGGGATTTTCCCTTTCAAAATCGGTTGTTTTTTTCTTTGTAAAAGAAGTCTTGTCTTTCTTTCAAGGCTTGGTACAGTCCTATGTTACTATTCCCTGCAGTCTTTCGTAATTCCATTAGGGCTGTCTTTGGAACATGTTTCTTAAAAACATAAACTTAAATCCATCTTACTGTACAGAAGTGAGTGACCTGTTCTTTCAAATTTAGACTCTCAATCAAGACAAACGACTTCTTTGAGATCTCACACTGTGCTAGACTGACTGTATTTGGACCTCAAAGCACCCTCTGCCACTTTCTAGGTGAATATTGCCTTTTTACAAACCGGGTAGGCCAGGCTGGGTTTGTAACAGTCCATGGCCCGGGCTCGTGCAGAAAGACCGTGGGTCGCTTGTGAGCAGTAGCCGTAAGTCCACTAGTGTTCCCGTCTGCTGCTTTCTCCAGATGACGCTACTGTGTAGGTGTGTCATGTGAGAAGCAGAGACAGGGATGCCCGGAACCAGATCCAGTGGGATGGGAAACCCTGGGCTGCTGCAGACCCTAGTGTAGGACTGAGAAAACCTTATGGAGACCCTAATGTAGGACCGAGCTGCAGCAGAACTCTAAGGCAGGACAGAGAAAACCCTGGGCTGCTTCAGACCCTTAAGCGGCTGGGGGCTGTTCCATCTGACGCCACTGCTTTAGCCTCCTCCGAAGACACACAGCGTGGGGGAGGAGCCTGATCTTTTAAAGGCCCCAAATCTGGCTAAGAGAGAACACGGTCATTTCCGGATGTCTAATGGTTATGAAGAGTAGTTATGGGGCTGGAGAGAGGGCTCAGCGGTTAAGAACATTGGCTGCTCTTCCAGAGGTCCTGAGTTCAATTCCCAGCAGCCACCAGGTGGCTCACAACCGTATCTGTAATGAGATCTGGTGCCCTCTTCTGAACCGCAAGGCATACACGCAGGCAGAAACTGTATTTATAATAAATACATCTCAAAAAAAAGGAGTAGTAAGATCCTTTAAGGGATTTTGTATTATTTTTGCCTCTAAAATAAAAATCATAACTTCAAGGTTTACTTTTTATTGGGGCAAGATGCAAGCCAAGTTTTTATTCAGGCCTGATTAACCAAATACTACAATTTTCCTGAAGTTAGCAGCAGAAGATCTTAATGTTGTTTTGAGACTGGGAACACTAATTACGGACCTTCTGAACTCCAGTTCCAGGAGAGTTTAAGCTTCCAGCTACTGTGAGGTAAACAGGGCCTGCCTGAGTGTCAGAGTTATGAGACACACTAACAGCTAGAGAAGAGTGAGATCCACAGACACCTCAGGCAGCAGGGTCCCCTTCCGTTTTGGGGCCAAAAAGTTATTTCAGGATGGTAAGTATCTATTCCTTTTATAATGTGGGTTAAATATTAATAATAAAGTTCCCACAATCATTACCAAGGCAGGAGAGTTTAGAAAGTATTTTTGTAGATTGAGATTTTTTTATAGACTTAAAAATTACTGTAGGAGTGTTTGCTTGCCTGTGTGTAAGTTCATGGGTTTCAAGACAGGGTTTCTCTGTGGCTTTGGAGCTTGTCCTGGAAATAGCTTTGTAGACCAGGCTGGTTTCAAACTCACAGAGACCTATCTATCTGCCTGCCTCTGCCTCCTGAGTGCTGGGATTAAAGGCGTGTACCACCACCACCCTGGCAAAAAAGGCATATTTTTGATAAAAGCATTTCTGTCATAGAAAACTGCAGCCAAGGTAAGAAATCTCAGTTCAATATATTTAATTTACTGAAAATTTAAAGCTATACATCTAGAGTGATTAAAAATTATTAATTGAAAGAAGCTATCAGCTGCAAAAAAAGTGAGAGAAGGAAATAAATAATTAATTTTCCTTTTTTTCTAGTGCTAGCAATTGTGAGCACATTAACATTCTGGTCACGTCCTTGAAAAAGCAGCAAAAGTTTGCCCAGACTTGGAGAGTTTTGAATTGCACTCTGGAGGAAGCTCGATTTAGGAAGCTATTCTGAAAGGTATTTTCATGGCGCCCAATGTCCCATCTTCAACCCTAACATCAGATTTGGTGGTCACGCCTTATACAGAAAAATGTGAATCTCGTTTGTCGAATGTTCTTACTGAGTAGTTGAGCTCTTCAGTCAGTTCAAAACACATCAACTGTTTCGTGACAAGCAGAAATAAATAAACATGCAGATTTGCATTGAAGAAGCAACAGGCCATTTTCATTTGCATGTTGACTTAGGATCTGGGCTACGACAAGATCTCCTATTTCTGTAACTAAGACTATGTATTTAGCGGAAAATAACGTACTGAAAGAAATTATTCACAATTAACTTTAACAATAAATTCACTTCTCTCGAAAAACACCACTTGATCACTCTCTTGCTATGCTGAACCAAGATGATGCAACACTTGCCTGTAACCGCTTCCTTTAAAAGCACGAAGAGCTAGCCAGGTGCAGGCTGTGATGACCGTGCTCGGGAGGCGGAGGCATGAAGGTAGGAACAGGAAGGTTATCCTCAGCTACACAGAGAATTCAAGGCTAGCTTGGGGTACAAGGGTCCCCACACGTTCTCTCTTTCTCCTCTTAAAAACATAAAACAAAACAAAACAAAAAAACCTTCATGGGACCAGACCTGTAGACCCAAAGCTGCAGGATCTCCATGACTCAGGGCAATAGCAGGATAACCAAGAGGAGTCCCAGAGAGGTCCCAGCACCAATGGTGTAGCAGACACCAGAAGCCTCTAACCAGACCATTGCAATGAACGTTTGCAAGTAAAGATGAATGGACAAAAGAGTTTCCCATGTGATCCAGCTCTGAATGCAGGAGGCAGCATCCCACCATGTGGGTCCTTGACCGAATAAAAGGAGAAAATGGGCGGAACACCAACATTTATCTCCGTCCTTTTTCTCAAATTCTGATCCAAAATGACCCTGTTCTTAAGGCACCTTCGTCGGGTGCTTTGTCACAGCGACTGGAAAAGTAACTAACACACTCCCATTTTCAGGCCAAATTCAAAATTTGCGTCGTTGTTCAAGGGTAAAATCAAGTCTGACTACTGTAGGTTCATGGGTTTCAGTCTGAGAGCTATGGCTAGAACTTCAGGTGACATTGCAAAATATACATGATCCTGTTTTTCAGTCTTTCAGTGAGTTATCCCTATAGCTCTTTTTTTTTTTTTTTTGTGACATCCAAGTCCCACAGACTTGGTAGAGCATCTGACAATGCGTGAAGAGTCTCAGACTCATGGATTTGGATCTAGCAGTTAATTGCTACCGCTGTGATTGCTGGGAAGTCATGAGGTTTCTCTGAGCCCCCTGTATAAAATAAAGATAATTACAATATTGTAAAAGTTACTGTTAGGACCAAACAAAATGACATACATATATAGTGCTTGGTACAGTGACAATATAGTAACACATCGGTAGATCCCCTTCATTTTTAAAAACTTAATTATTTTGATATAACATGTTAGCAATACTTATAATTGACTTAATTTCTAGCCAGAATTATAGCCAAAGTTGTCAAGTCTATAGCCATTATTACCTTTATTGCTGAAATCATCAATTAGCACAATTTCTGCTAAATACTTCCTTGGTGTCCTTTTGATGACACTGTGCACTGTCCTCATGAGGGTTGACCATCCTTCATTATGGAAGACAATGACGACGCTGGAAGTGAGCAGGTTCTCATCATAATGCCAGTACTTGCATCTGTAAAAAGAAAATTTCATCATATGTATTTAGAGGGACTCTAGAACACTTGGCTTCAAAGTCTCTGTGATTGAATTTTCTGATTGGATTAAATATTATTGGCTCATCTAAGGAAACAGTAGGAAGCGCTCTGGATCTCAGCAGAAACGTAAGATCAGAGAGAGAAGCTGGTGTTTAAAGCTACTCTTAGATACAGCTCCATGGTACCAGCACACTGTGTAATAAGAGAAATAACTTATGAATCAATGCTGAGGATGCTAAAGATATTATTACAGCTGTCAGCTTTTTTTCTACGACACAGATATCACTGTATTTTCCTTTTAGAAACTTGAGCTTTTAGGTGCGAGAGATTTATTCTGTTGTCTAATATGACAATAAAAAATATTCAGAAAAAAATCAAGCAGGCTAACCAGGGACACAGGGGAGTCTTTGGAAAATTTACTAGTAAATGGGTACGGCTCCAACATTGTCTGGACCTACTGCATTTCCAAAGGATCTGGCCTCCAACAGGCACCCACACCGTGTGCCACACATAACACACATAGACACAGACACGCACACTCCTAATTATAATACAATCATTTAAAAACCTTGTAATTAGATAACCAATAGATATCATGTAGCTAAGTAGACTTTGAAAAGCCAACAGTTTTAGGTTGTAAGTTGCTGTGATTTACATGTACTGTCATTAATCTACGGTACAATATGTGCGCTCTTGTGTATTTGCGTGCGGATGTTACGTGCTTTCACCCTTTAGGAGCTGCAACTTATTTCTAGATTAGTCATTCAAAGTCTTTATTTTGATAAGGACTAACTTTAGACTCTCGTCTGTTAATTCTGCAGGAAGTCTAAATTTAGCAGGGGGAATTAAACCCATAATTTGAGAAACAATGACTTTTTTATTAATTACCTCTTTCCATTGAAAAATAAATATGGAGCTTTTCCAGGCTGCATCTGAAAATATTGTTTATTTAAATAATTAAAGGAAGAGAAAATGCTTAGAATCTGCCTAAAATGGAAATTACACCAAATTCTCGAACTATTAGCAATGTAGACATAAAATTCAACAGCATTTAGAAATATCTATTTTCTTTTTGGGGCGGGGGGGGCATTGGGACAGGGTTTCTTTGTACAACCCTGGCTATCCGGGAACTAGGCTGGTCTCAAACTCACAGAGGTCTACCTGCCTCTGCTGGGATTAAAGGAATGTGCCATTTTCAATGAAATGAGAGTTCTAGCCATTAAACTGAACAACAGACTGGGGGGAGTGGCCTTTGACCAAGTCTGTGGTGTCTGTGCAACTTGGGTTGCGTGATACAGAGTTAGCACCCAAGAATGTAAGTGCTACTCCTTCAAATGTATCAGATGCAGAAAAATACCGAACTTAACACCAAAAACTCAATAACGTAACTTCCTTATTACCACTCTCTGGATATGAATTTTATCAGTGTGGGTCCTGGGAAAGAATTAACAATTCTTCATCCACTAAAGGGTGCAGCGTTTAGGTCAAATTCTTTCTTAAGTTCAACCAAAATTACATGAGCCCTATAGTTTTGTTTTGTGGTTTGTAATCTTACCATATTCTAGTTCCCAAATCCCTAGAACTTTCCTCCCTAAATTACTATCAAGGCCAGTGTCTCCCATTCTGGGTTTACACGTAATTGCATTTCCTACATTGACTTAGATGCTGACTCTAGCAGGACCTGATCTCTGGGATGGGTTTATCATCTCTGTGTTGTGTGTAAGCATCCCTCCCAGCTTGCTGTGTTGAAAACTGGCTCAGTATGCTCACTATCTCTTCATCTACTGTCTGCAGAGCTACCGGTAAGATCTTGTATTGTGTTAAAGCTACATGTTGTCTCTGAGTGGTGAGAAATCCATCTCGACTTCACTACAGCACTGCCACTCAAACTGTGCTTCTGATCACAGAGGTCTGAAGACGTTACAAAACTATCCTTCCAAGCTGAGATGACTGGGTATCACGGTCTCCTGGTGAACTGGGTAAGCGTGTGTCTGCTTTCAGACAAAGGTATGAGCTTGAGTTGGCTTCTTTTCACAGACCCATGCTGCCATTTAGTGAAGGTGAGTCTTTGTGTCTAACATCAGTGTCAAGTCTCTAGAACCAAACTTCCTCTCTCTCCCTTTTGGAAAACATTTGCTCCTCAAATCCCTCCCCTTTTCTTCAGTGTCTCTGGTGAGTGATGAGACTTCCACTTGAAGTCATCTGCTAAGTTCCTCAGTATCTGGTCCCGTGTGGACTTTGAAGGCTGGGACTGGATTCCTGACTTAATGGCTGGAAGCGCTGAATGAGGAGCTAGATAAGTTTGATCCCTAGGACCCACGTGCTAGAAGGAGAAAGCCAACTTCTTCAGGCCATTAAACATGCACCTGCACGCGTGCACGCACGCATGCACGCACGTTCGCGCAAACACACACACACACACGCTCACACTCAATTTTATAATATGTAGTTCTTTTCCTACAATGAGGGAAAAAAACATAGTATGTCTATTTTTCCCTCATATTTAAAACCATATACTATGCCCGAATAATTGATTTATTTGCATTTGTATTTCACACAGAATCTCCATTTTAGGGGAGCATTATGTTGGGATACATGTTTAGAGTGTCTGCTTAAAGCAGCCACACCACATGGTTCTGTCTCCTTAGCAATGCCTCAGCAGGAGACCATATAGCATCATCTCTGGGCCAGCAGAATGGACTAGCAGGGAACATTTGTCCCGGCTGGGCCAGCTAGAGTCTTTCATTTTGGACTTTGAGCTCCAGTGACTTTAATTTCTATTTATACTTCCATGGTGAGACAAAGGTTTGACACAGAGAAGCTGTTCTTGGAGAAGTGAAAAATAAGAGTAAGTGCAGATAAGCGTATGAATGCTTAACACACACATGGCTTCACTTTAGTTACCCCCTCCTGGTTCTGAATCTCCAATGACTCTCACATGTCCTGCGTGATCTTGGTTTCCATGAGACAATCCAACAGGACCTCTTGGCCTACCTGTTTTAGATTAGCTAGTTCAAAAGATTTGTTTTGAAGTAACTACCACAACTAACATGTTAACCTTAGTATTTTTTTTTTACTACATTTCAGCTCGTTAGGTATATGTGTTCATAGAATAAAACTTCAGAGAGTTTCACTAGCCAATCAGTAAACTAAGTTTTCTATTTTCTCTTACAATTTGACATTGGAGAGCTTCCTGGTAAAGTTACAGAAAGATGAGCTAGAGATGGCCTCTCCAGGTGGTACCACTTTGTAAGTCCTAAAAACACGTTGTATAGATGAACATTAGCATTAGAGAGTTACATATGTTAACTAAATTAGAAATATTTCAAAGTAGATATCTAATTAGTACATAATTTGAGATTTTAAGAGAAAAAAAAAGCCCTTAAGTTTTGTAGTCTTGTCACCACTAAAACTACCTAAAATCAGATCCTGTGACCAGTGTAGACTGTGAGAATGGTTGCTGTCACCATTTTGAAGGTGCCTTCCTTGGACACAGCAAGGTCTACTGAGCTGACTTTCTGGATGACTCAGGGTCAATCGCTCTCTAAACGACAGCTGGCTGGGCTAGTGATCATTGTGTCTTTGGTTCCCTATTCTAGCCTCCATATAGACTGGCCCTTTCTTAATAATAGAGTATTTCTTTTGACTAGGCACAATGGAATTGAGTTCCAGTTTGATTTTAGTCTAATCATTTTCTCAGACATCCATCCATGAAGAGCTTGTGGCCTTTTCCTTCACTGCTAGACACTAATTACTTTTCCCGAATGTTCTTATTAGTCAGTCCTCCCTTGAAGGGCAAAATCCAGTCTGTAGTAATAGAACTCCCTCGTCCTATTATCTGCAAAATGAAAATTAGAAAAGCTAAGCTCAGTTCTGCCCAAATAGCAATCATTTCATGATTATGACAATTCAATACTCATTTATTTGTTGATTTGATTTCAAAAATGTTTTCAGATCTACTCTTCTTTTCCAGTGTTGCCTGATATCACAGAACACCATCCATTTTTCTCTGCTAATCAGTCAGATATTATTGACAGGGAGAATAATAAATCTTACATTCTTGGGGAGATTGAAAATCAGGTCAATGTACATAGAATTAATGGCTGTGCCTGGGAAAAATGTCAAGTATATCACCTGTCATATGAAAACTAAGTAACGGAGAAAGTACAGTGGCCAACAGTAACTCTTGTTTGAGTCTACTACATGGTACCACAGTTGGAAGGAAGCCAGAGTAAGTATGAAGGTAAAGCCAGTGGGGAGCTTTGGCCCTGCCCCTCAGATCAGCTCTCTCTCAATAAATGACAGTTGTCTGTCGTGAAGGCACGTTCCCCAACTCCAGCAAGATTACGACATCAATTACCAGGACTCAAGTCTTGTTCTGGGGCCGAGTTGGGGTTTGGAGGGTTAGCTCATGTTCAAACCATCACTGGATTAGAGGGGAGGGGGCTGTTTGAGTAAACCAGGTTTCCTAGAACCTTTCCAGGCTGAATGGCAGACTAAGAGCTACAGAAACTACAGTCAAAAACAGCCATAGCCTTCTGCAGCTATACAACCCAGAGCAACAGTCGCCTGTCCAGAGCACTGGGACCTCTGCTGATTGGGACACGGGCCAGCACAACAGCACAGCAAGTACAGAGGATTCCCAGAGCCCGCATGAAGGTGGAAGGAGAGAGACACCCTCACAGCTCCTCTCTTCTCTCCACATGAAGTGCAGCACGCACGCCCATGCCCCCTCTCACACACAGAGCCCCCAATGATAAATACAATGAAAAGCAGAAAAGGTCCTGTATGTGTCCGTTTCCATTCTCTCTGTGAGGCAGTCAGCGTCCTGTCACCCCACAGAGTGATACAGCTGCCCAGTCACTAGTCATGATGCCATCCTTCCGTTCCCTCAGCTCCCCATCCAGAGTCACATTCACGGTAGGGTTAGAATTCACAGCCCCTCAAAAGTCAGATGTGACGTCGTCTTTGGAGAACC